AAAACTGTTTCAACTCCATATGAAATGTTCCAGAGACTAGGGGAGACTGTTTCTCAGTGCAGCAGACATGTAACGAGAGACGGTTTTATGTTCAAATCCAATAAAGACAGTAAGAGAATCATCAGCAGATTGAACTCACAAACACGCACAAGTCTTATCCTTCACACTAGCACAAAGATCAGTAGTGTACAGAGATTACAGATCTTAAGTAACTTCCCCTAAGGTCAGAGTAAATCTGAGAGGGAAAAAAACATCTGTGATATCTGTGATTATCCAAAAATATGTAAAATCAATAATTTTGCAAACTTCAAAACTAATTCAGTGTGTATGTCTGTGTGTGTGTGTACTCATGACCAAGTGAATTAGTCAGAGTTCTCTAGATGAACATAACTGATCATGCATATGTGTGTATACATATATATATGTGTGTGTGTGTGTATATATATATATATACATATATATATATATGCTATCGACAAGCAGAAAGCCCAAAAATTCAGTTGTTCAGTCCATGGGGCTGGATGTCCCATCTGCTCTTCAGTATACACCAGAATCCCGAAGAAGTAGGCTCTAATGCCAGTGAAGAAATAGATTTGCCAGGAAAAGCTAAACAGGCAAAGAGCAAAGAACTGCTTCTTTCATGTCCTTTATATAAGCTGCCAGCAGAAGGTGTATCCCAGATTAAAGGTGGGTCTTCCTACTTCAAATGATTTAATTTAGAAAAAAAATCCTCATGATGTACCTAGCTTCTTGGATTTTAGTAAATTCCAGATGTAGTCATGTTGACAACCAAGAACAGCCATCACACCATACGTGCACACAGGCTGTCTGGAAATCAATATCAAGTATCTACTCTACAGCTCTCTACCTTAAATTTTAGCTTTTAACTTATTGCTTTAAGGTCTCAAGTAAACTGTGACATAGAAATAGGATAGTGGTTCTCCCAGCTTTTTGAAGATTATTAAAGAAAGCCTTCTAATAGCTTCACTTTTATGAATGATATAAACTAGGCATGTTGGCTCATGCCTATAATCCCAACACTTGAGATATGGAGGCAAAGAAAAAAGTAGGTAAGACCAGGTTACATAATGCACATGAGGCCAGCCTGGGCTATATAAGACCCTATCTTTTTTTTTCAATTTTTTTATTTATTTATTTATTTATTAAAGATTTCTGTCTCTTCCCCGCCACTGCCTCCCATTTCCCTCCCCCTCCCCCAATTAAGTCCCCCCCCCCTCAGCCCGAAAAGCAATCAGGGTTCCCTGTCCTGTGGGAAGTCCAAGGAACCCCCACCTCCATCCAGGTCTAGTAAGTTGAGCATCCAAACTGCCTAGGCTCCCACAAAGCCAGTGCGTGCAGTAGGATCAGAAACCCATTGCCATTGTTCTTGAGTTCTCAGTAGTCCTCATTGTCCGCTATGTTCAGAGAGTCCGGTTTTATCCCAGGCTTTTCCAGACCCAGGCCAGCTGGTCTTGGTGAGTTCCCAGTAGAACATCCCCATTGTCTCAGTGTGTGGGTGCACCCCTCGCGGTCCTGAGTTCCTTGCTCTTGCTCTCTCTCCTTCTGCTCCTGATTTGGACCTTGAGATTTCAGTCCTGTGCTCCAATGTGGGTCTCTGTCTCTGTCTCCTTTCATCGCTTGCTGAAGGTTAATATTCAGGAGGATACCTATATGTTTTTCTTTGGGTTCTCCTTATTTAGCTTCTCTAGGGTCACTAATTATAGGCTCAATGTCCTTGGTTTATGGCTAGAAACCAAATATGAGTGAGTACATCCCATGTTCCTCTTTTTGGGTCTGGCTTACCTCACTCAGGATAGTGTTTTCTATTTCCATCCAGGTTACATAATGCACATGAGGCCAGCCTGGGCTATATAAGACCCTATCTTTAAAAAAAAAAAAAAGATATTACTGTAGGTTTTTTATCTTGTTAAGTATATTAAAAAATATGATAAAAAGTTTAAAATATGAATTGGGAACAGGAGATTTAAGGGGGCTGGATATATGGCTCAGTCATTTAGAGTACACATGTTCTTGCAAAGGACTCCAGTTCAATTCCTAGCACCTACATGGTAGCTCACAACCATCCTAACTCCAGTCCCAGGGGATGTGGATGCCCTCTTCTGGCCTCCATGAGCACTGCATTTGGTGACCAGACATACATACATGCAAGCAAAATACCATAAACATACAATTTTAAAAATAAAAATAAATAAAATAAAATTTAAAGCACTAATATTTGAGAAATAAGGCACAAAACTATCAACAGTCACAGATAATAATTGTGTATATGAAATGAAAAATGAACCAAATATAAATTATTAGACATGTCAAGAAGAATCTGAGGTGACTGGATATAAGACTAATATACATCATAAATAGTATTTTTATACCAAAACCCAGAAAGATACCCTTTATAATAATATTAAAATATGGATAATGTTATAAAGTCTACATGAGAAAAATATCAGAAATCTTTATCTTCTTTAAGTTATTTTTATTATTTTTATGGATAGAGAATTTCATACATGTTTTGGTCATATATACTCTTCTTCAGCCAAGTTGTCCCAGATCCAACCTTGTTCCCTTCTCACACAACTTTGTGTCCTTTTTTCCCTTGTAGGCCATTTGCACTACCTAAATATCCTCAGATATATGGCCTTCTACTGTCTCATGGTCAACTTATGAGGGGCTACACTGTTAGAAAAAACTGGCCCTTCCTCTTCCAGAACTAACAACTGCCAATATCTCCAGGGCTAGGAATGGACTCCATGTCCAACGGCCCTCTCCACATTGGGATTTGATCTAGTTTAGGCTTGTACATGTCCATGCATGAACCGTTATGAGCTCATATATGAGCTGCCGGACTGTACTCAGAAGACACTGTTCCTTGTCTCTGGCCCTTACACTCTTTCTCTCCATCTGCCATGATAATCCCTGGACCTTTGAAGGAAGGAGTGGTGTGTATTTGCTCATTTAAGAAAGGTATTCTGCAATCTCTTTGCAATCACTTCGACCAGTCGTGAGTCTCTTTTTATTTGTGTGTCTGGGGAAGGGGGAAGGCACACCCATATGCCATTGTTATGGTTTAAGTAAAAACACTGCAGGTCCCCAAGTGGCTGCAGCAGGCCACAAGACCATGCTGCAGGTCCCCATGATACAGCAGACAATGGGTCCCAGGAGCAGCCAGTCCCAGGCAGGGACAGCACAGTTCCCCAAGTGGCTGCAGCAGACCACAAGGGGCAACAAGTCCCAGGCAGGGAGCCATGTGGTGGATGAGAGACCTCGACAGGGAAGCCAGTCCCACAAGGAGAGACAGATAGGCAGGCCATGAGACCACGTCATGGGTCTTCAAAGGCAGCTGGTCCTGTACAGGGAGCCACACAGTGGGCGAGAGATGGAGATATGGATAGGCACACCATGTAGAGTGAGATTGGATATTTATTTAATGGGTTATGGAGGCAGAAGGGGAGAAGAGCAAAGAGAGAGAGAGAGAGAGAGAGAGAGAGAGAGAGAAACAGAGGGGGAAGGGGAAAAGTGGGGAGAGGGGAAAGACAGAAGCTACCTCTTCAAGAGAGAGATAAAGAGAGAGAGGCATGGAAAGGGAAGGACTCTTCTGCAGACAGGGGAGGGAGTGGGCATGGTTTGTCTCTTAAAGGGACAGGACAGACCATTACAGCCATAAGAAAACATAGGCTCCCCATGAAATTAGAGTTATAGGATGTTGTAAACCACCCCATGTAGGCACTGGGAACTGAACTTGGGTCCTCTGGAAGAGAAGCAAGTGCTCTTAACCACTGAATCATCTCTCCAGTCCTAAAAACTTTTCTTGAAAAAGATTATTAAAGGCCAAAATTAACAGAAAATTGGTCTATAGATTCAATGCAACTCAAAGCAATGTCTAGGGTAGGTTTTCTCAGAAATTTATCAAGTTAATTTGGACTTTTATATGGAAAATGAAAACTCTTAAAATAAAGTTCAAGAAATTAAGTATGGCTTTTGAATTGGGAATATATAATGTAATAAAACACACAAGTTCATATATATTAGCAAATTACATGACTATAGTTGTGGGCAATAGCTGAACAGAATGTGATGACTGAAGAAAAGAGAAGTCTAGAACCATTAGAAAATTAAAGGAGGCCTTTATTTCATGGTTCACCAAAAGAAACCAATACCAAGTGATTCCAGGTTGTGAATGGAAGTCACTTTTTCAGGCTCAAGGTGGCTTCATAAAGCAGTGTAGCATTGTGTTTCAAACAAACCCTTAGCTGAGTATAAAGGCGGGGACCTGTAATCCCAGTACTTGGGAGGCTCAGGTAGGCAGATCAGAAACTCAAGGCCAGCTTGGGTTATACAACAAGTTCCTGGACAAATCAGTGTAAACACCCAGCTCTTGCCTCCAAAACTTAAACGATAGTAATAATAATAAAACACTAGTAAACATTATGGCAACTTCAAATCAGGTGTCCACTAGAAAACAGATAAATGATCATGAACATAGCTTTATCTTTACCAGCTCAGTGTCTGTCAGTGATGATGACGAATACGCCTACCTCAGAGATTCTGTGTATTAATTTAACAACTTAGTCCATATGGGTTACTTATGTAGACTTTGGCAAGAAGGAAACACCTCAACCATCATTTCTGTTATGCTCGCACTTCGTTCTTTCTAATGCACCAGGCCAGTTTTTTTCTCTGCTTTAGAAAACCAGAACATGGGAAGGGAGAAATTCTTTTGAAATTCCTTGCTCTGATGACCCAGCCCTTCATAGTTAAGCATATGCATATGCTCTGGTCCCTAAGCTCGTATTGTCTCTACATGAATATGGAATTCACTATCAGGGGTCTAATCAGTTTGGGACCTTTAGCTTCATGGCTGGGTACTCAAGCGCTCAGCGTTCAACTCAACACATCATAAAACCCAATTCAGGATCCCTCCTACCAAACCAAACTTGAAGTATAAGAGCATTCAACAGCTTCTACCCGCTGCTTGCTCCACCATGAAGCCTGATAAGATGGGGTTTCTCCTAGGAATCTTCATCTTCTGCTCAGTCACTGCCCCAGTACTGAGTGGTGTTGCCAGGCTCACTCACAATATCTGCAGAGAATACAAAGGTATGGATAAGGTTAAAATAGAAGGTAAACTCCAAAACCAATTATGAATGAGGGGGAAAGAAATGAAAACAGTTCCACTGGGGGGAGGGGGGGTCAGAAGGCTCCTCTCTCCTTCAGTGCCTTAACTCAGGGCATTATTTTCTTCAGGGGACTTGTGGGTGTCCAGAGAGGATAAAACAATATACGGTATAAGTAAGTCCTTTCCAGATAGAGAACTCCTTTGTAGGCGGTCAAAAAACTGCAAGCATTTTGTGACAGGGGTTTTGTGGCATATTTCAAAAAGTTCATACCTTCCAAGAGCATGCCTTCCAATAAGAGAGGATTTTAGAGAGTAATACCATTGAGGTCTAGCCTGCATTTGGGCTCTGGACATACAGAAGACATCTGAGCACGCTGTACCTATATGGAAGAGTTTACAGTGTGGCTATGACCCATAATGAGACTTTCTCCTGAAGCCCAAGTGATACAGTCTCTGCTTTGATTCAGATTCCAAACTCTGGCCCTGTCACTCAGCAGACATCTGCCTCTCGACAAGACTGTAAGCCCAATGATCATCTCCTCCCCGACTCCATTTTGTCTATATGTAAAACAAAAACTAGAAAATCAGACAGTATTTATGACTTTAAGATAAAATTGCACGTGTGGCAAGGCCGAGCCAAGAAGTGTTACCAGAAAACAAACTACAGACCGGCAGCTTGAGGGAGGAAGGTGGGCACTAAGCACTGGGCTATCAATATGGCCACCAGTATGACTATTTCAATCATCCTTACCCACCACTTGGCCAATAAAAAATGAGACAACTGCTTCCAAGAGAAGGCGTGAAGAACAGCAAGATATGGGGGTGAAAGACTGTCACGCTTCTGGTTGTAGAATGAGTAAGTAGACAGTGGGGTGTGTGGTGTGTGTGTGTGTGTGTGTGTGTGTGTGTGTTCTGAGTTGTGTGTCTTGAGCAGGCAGCTGAAAGGCTAGGATGCCAGGATAGCCTGCAAGGTATGCAGTGCGAGGAACATTGTCACTTTGCACAAGCTAAGCTATTCACCATCTGGTCCTTCCCCAAACCACTGCCTGGGACCCACCATCTGGAGATGTAAACTATATTGGACGAAGGTGGCTTTGTCGTGTGACTCTACTTACAACAAAAAAAGGCAGAAACCTCTGAGGGTCCCTGAACAAGAATGTTTCCAAGCTAGAGGAAGGAATTTTTCTTTTAGTGTGTGGGTGTCTAAACCTGCATGTGTGCAATTGTTCATGCATGCTTATGAACCATGGCATGCATGTGCAGGTCAGAGGACAACTGGAGGGAGCTGGTTCTCTCTTCCCACCACACGGGCTCGGAGAGAGAACTCCAGTTGTTGGCTCCTTAACCCCCTAAGGCACCTCTCCGTCCCAAGCTGGAACTTTCAAGGGCCTCTGAATAGAGACAACGCTTGCTCTTGAGCCCCAAGCATCTTCCTCTAATTCCGTGGCAACTTCTCTCGCAGAGTCTTGTAATATGGACGTGGATCCTGGCAGCTGCTATGAGGTCCATTTTAGATTCTTCTACAACAGAACTGCCGGCGAGTGTCAGAGTTTTGTCTTCACTGGCTGCAACGGCAACCTTAACAACTACAGGCTGAAAATAGAGTGTGACATTGAATGCAATGAAGAGTACCGGACAGTACGGTAAGGCCTCCAACTCAGCTTTGGTCTTTCGGGAGAATGGCAACAACAGGCTCTGAGATTCAAGGGTAGAGAAAATAAGTCAAGGGCTTACCCCTTTGGGGGCGTGAAGAGGGAAGATTGTAGCAATAGAAGGTTCTACTGGGTACGCCGGGATCTCAGAAGAAATTGTTGATTTTGGACAGGGAGTGGAGACACATGCCTTTAATCCCAGCACTTGGGAGGCAGAGGCAGGCAGATCTCCGTGAGTTCAAGGCCAACCTGGTCTACAGAGAGAATTCCAAGACAGGCTCCAAAGCTACACCAAGAAACCTTGCCTCACAAAAACAACAAAAATTGCTGATTTTGCAATTAGAAAAAAAAAAAAAAAAAAAAACCTCAAATGTCCAGGGAGAAAACTGTAGCTATTATTTGGCACACTGTCAGGTATGCGTTAACAATTACCATATATAACACAATTTTACATTAAAATAGCTACACGAAGCCTCCACCACCATCGACGATCCCACCAACTAAGGCCACAACTGCCCAAAAGTCTGAAAACCTGCATATTCCAAAAAGAAAACCCTTCCGACTGACAAGACGGAGAAAGTACAGAAAGTCCCAGCAGTACAAAAGGCACCACAGGTCCAGAGGGTGGTAGCAGGCCAGGAGTCAAAAGAAGGCTGCCACAAAGGTCAGTGTCTGGTTCAGGCTTCAACTCCCATGGGTCCACAGCTCCCTAAGAAACTGGGCTTTGCCTCCCCGAGTCCCAAAGACAATGACTACCCTAAACCTTGATCAGAGAAGCTTCTCTTTGCAGTGAATGAAGAGACTCACAGCTGCTCAAGCTGCTAAGAGATTCTGATGCCGCTGAGGGCTCAGGCCTGGGGGTAAGAGCTGAGTGATGAGGAGCAGAGCTGCAGAACCCTGTCTTCTAGGCAGGCACGAACTCTGCGACCGTGAAGCCACTGCAGCTGCAGCTGCATACACTACTCCTTCACAGACCTAAGTTTCACAACAGTCTTTTTTTTAATATTTATTTATTTATTATGTATACAATATTCTTTCTGTGTGTATGCCTGAAGGCCAGAAGAGGGCACCAGACCTCATTACAGATGGTTATGAGCCACCATGCGGTTGCTGGGAATTGAACTCAGGACCTTTGGAAGAGCAGGCAATGCTCTTAACCGCTGAGCCATCTCTCAGTCTTAACAGACAGTCTTAAATGGGAGATGGGTTCAGGCTTTCTCTCCCGGGAAACTACTGGCTGTTGGTGGATACTGATGTAAAGCAGCCATGACCTTCTGTTGTATACCCACTCATAAGTCCATCAGGCTCCATCACATGCATAGCCACAGCTAAAAATCAGTGGGTCACAAAACAAAATGACATGAATTCAAGAAAGTGACCTGAAGGGGTGTGGCAAAGAGATGAGAATAAGTGGAAGGAAAACAATCAGAATGCAAAGTGTGTGTGTGTGTGTGTGTGTGTGTGTGTGTGTGTGCATGTGTGTGCCTGTGGGGAGTGAGCACATGTGTGCGTGCGTGTGTGTGAGAAATTGTTAAAGAACAAATTACTGAAAGATCTGAGAAAATAAGATTAAATGAAAATAGCTGTACAGTAGATTTATATTATGATTTTCACCTGCTAGGTGAGGAAAACGAGTCTACTATAAGAAACCAATTGAAGCCTGGCAGTGGTGGCACATACCTTTAATCCCAGCACTTGAGAGACAGAGGCAGGCAGAGCCAGGACTACACAGAGATACCCTGTCTCAAAACAACACACACACATATCAAGAAATAAAGGGGGCTGAGAGATGGCTTAGAGGTTAAGAGCACTGACTGTTCTTCCAGAGGTCCTGAGTTCAATTCCCAGCAACCACATGGTGGCTCACAACCATCTATGATGAGATCTGGTGCCTCTTCTGGCCTGCAGGGATACATGCAGGCAGATGCTTTGTACATAATTAATAAATAAATCTTTAAAAATAATAATAATAAAATAAATAAATAAATAAATAAATAAATACTCACTAAGTGGTAGCATAGCAAACTTCTTTGGTTTCTGCTTTTTATTTTTAATCAGATCTGACCACCACGAGGCTCTTAGCCTGCCTCTATGCTCCAAGAGCCCCCAATCAAATCTTTGCATTTTTAGGCCTTCTAAATCTCCAGAGTGCCATGCTATTTTCTACAGGTGAAGCCTGAGCCCCAACTGACCATTTCCAAGTTCTTAGAACTAGAAGTTCAGTGACTTCTGCCCAGGCAATACAGCGGCTGGCTTCCATAACAAAGAGACAGAAAGGCCTAGGGGATGACTCAAAAAAAAAAAAAAGGACCAGCTCTGCTTTCAATTCTCCCTAATGTGTCCTTAGAGAGGCTAGAGCATGGGGAGTGGCTATCTTTAGGATAAATGAAACAGATTAATGCAACAGAGGGTCCCCTGCTACTAGAGACGTCATTCTCTAGGACTGCCCCAAGACAGAAATGACCGACACTAAGCCAGAGAGACTCTTTTGTAACCTGCAACATGAATCTTCTTTTTCTACTTAAACAGAACATCAGAGCCTGAGCGTGAGCCTGAGAGCTTTCATGGACGTCCTCGGATGGGCCTCCTGAAACAAAGCTGGAAGAAGGTTCAGGCCAATGCTGAGATCTTTGGGTAATGTCCACAATCCTGGACACTTCGATTTACTGCTTTCTTGTTCCTAATTTTGTCTTTCCTGAGAAATTACTGCCATCATTAAAAATGAAAGGCTCTTCTTCTCTGTGTCTTCACTCCATTGCCTTATCCAGAAAATGTCAGCGGGTTCCACACTTTAGGTCTCTTACTCTTGAGCAATTTCTCGTACATCCAGACAATGCTGAAGCCAGCCCAGTACAGCTGACCAGATTGTACAGATTGGTGTCACCTCCCCTAGGAAAGCCAGCTGAGCAGTGCCTCCACAGCAGCAAACCTGTTCAATTTTAGCCTTCAAACCAAATGCAGCATCGACCCTCACACTTACCTGGAGTGTTTCTTCACTCAAGCAAACCTCCTTCATCAGCCCTCCTTCATTAACTTATCTCTTACGTTGTTCCCTGTTTATTAGTAATCATTTAGGTAGCCTTAGGAGCTTGGTGACTGAACTTAACTTGATTACTGTCAGCTTTCCCAGAAAAGCAAACCTCATTCTGTTATCTTTGTTTTATCTACCAAAAGAACAACCATCCACAGACAGACTCTCAAGTCTGAACATAGTGACTGGGTATGGCCTGGCCATGATCTGCCCAGTTGTAGTATCCATTTCAAGTCTGAAAATTCTTGGGTATCCCAGATGAATCTTCACTGAAGTCGAATTATCCTCTCCATATTTGCCCTGTCTAACTAATCCCTCACCTAGAAACCATGTGTCAATCACCAGCGTCAGAGACACTATATATCACTGAAAACCTGTAACAGAAAATGCAGCCTAAAGAATCACAACTTAGAGACTTTTTAAGATTGATTTTTATTTACATGGTGTGTGTGTGTGTGTGTGTGTGTGTGTGTGTGTGTGTGTGTGTGTAGGTGTCCATGGGGGCCAGAAAAGGGCATCCCCTGGAACTAGAGTTACAGATGGCTGGAAGCTGACTGATTTGGATGCTGGGAACAAAACTTAAATCTTCTTCAAGAGCAGTGAGTACTCTTTCTACTGCACCATCTTTCCACCACCACCCTCAATTTTTTTAAGATTTATTTTTGTTTTTACTTCTATTCTTTTGAACTTTTTGAAAATGTATTTATGTTGCCAGGCATGGTGCTACATCCCTTTAAACCCACCACCTGGGAGTCAGAGAGAGAGGTGGATCTCTGTAAGTTCAAGGCCAGTCTGGTCTTCAAAGGACTACACAGTGAGACCTTGTATCAAAGCAGGGAGGTGTGTTCTTTTATGTGTATGAGTGTTTTGCCTGCATATATGTATTGCTCCACATGTGTGCCTGGTGCCCACAGAGGTCAGAAGAGGGCATTGGATCCCCTGAAACTAGAGCTATGGATAATCATAAGCTGCCATGTGGATGCTAGTAAGTAAACCCAAGTCATCTGAAAGAGCAGTCAGTGCTCCTAGCCATTGAGCCATCTCTTCAGCCTCTTTCTCTTAAAGAAAACAAAATAGAGCAAAAGACTTGAAAGCAGAAGAAATAAGCCATCAGAAAACCAGTTAAGACAAAGGCAGGAGGATGAATAAAGACATTTCGGGTCAAATCACAGAACGGTAATGCAACAATGAAACTATATGGACCGGAACTGCACACGCAACAGATGAACGTTAGAACTGGATGCTGAGATAAAGCCATGTGTGCTGTGCACAAGCCAGAGCCATCAAACTTCTGTAAATTCAAGACAGAGTTGGAGAGATGGCCCAGAAGTTAAGAATGCCTTCTGCCCTTGCAGAGAACTGTAGTTTGGTTCTCAGCATCTAGGTCAGGCATCTCACAGTTCCCTGTAACTCCAGCTTCAGAAAGACAGACACCCTCTTCTGGATTTCTCAGATACCTGCACTCATATGCACATAGACACCGATATACACAAAGCTGTTAAAACTCAAAAAAAACTAATAAATACTTTCTCCTTTACAAAGTAATGGTGAAATCAAATGCATTCCATAAGAAAATAGAAGCCTGTTGTTGGGGTTTCTGTCCTGCCCCATTCCTGCAGTCATTAAGTCCCAAAGAAATCACACAGAGGTCTACATTAGTTATAAACTGATCAGCCCATTAGCTCAGGCTTCTTATTAACTTGTAATTTATATAGCCCATTATTAGCTATTATTCTTTTCTGTGTTAGCCATGTGGCTCAGTACCTTATTCAGTGAGGCAGTCAAATCTTGCTTCTTCTGTGGCTGGGCTAGGACTGCAGAGGAATGGGCTTCCCTCTTCCCAGCATTCTCCTGTTCTCCTTGACCCGCCTCTATGCCCTGTCTGGTTGGCCTGCCTATACTTCCTACCTGGTTACTGGCCAATCAGCGTTTATTTAAAATATAATTGACAGAAAACAGATCATTCTCCCACACCAGAAGCCAAGTGTGGTGGCACACATCTGCAATCCTACCAGAGTTCAGGACAAACCAGGCTACTCAGAGGGACCCTTTCCCAAGTTAGCTAAGTGAATAAAGCTGGGAGCAGCTGCGCACACCTGCAGTCCCAGCTACTCTAGGGCTGACACAGAATACTTTGAGCACAGATTTTGTGGGGTTTTTTTCTTTCAGATTTTATTTTTAATTATGTTTGTGACCATGTGGGTGCCCATAGAGGCCAGAAGAGGGCACCAGATCTCCTGAAACTGGTTACAGATGGTTGCGAGCTACCTGACGTGGATGCTGGGGACCAAACTCTGAACCTCTGCAAGAGCGATTTGCACTCTTACCCAATGAGCCAACTCTCCAGACTCAAGTCCAAGACTTCAAAACTAGCTGGGACTACATTGTGGGATCAATAATGAGAAGAGAGGGAAGAAAGGAGGGAGCGAGATCTGAAATTTAAATGTGAGATTCTTGTAAGAAAGGATCTTATGTAAGAAAATGGAGAATTTCCAGGTAAGACAGCAGGTTAAAGACTGCCTCCTAGAGAAAAAAAGGAGTCAGAGTAAGAAAAGTATAGGTGGCAGGGTGGCGCACGCCTTTAATCCCAGCACTCAGGAGGCAGAGGCAGGCGGATCTCTGGGAGTTCGAGGCCAGCCTGGTCTACAGAGCTAGTTCCAGGACAGGCTCTAAAAACCCGGTCTGGAAAAACAAAAAAAGAAGAAAGAAAGAAGGAAAGAAAGAAAGAAAGAGAAAAAATATAGATGTTGTTCCAGAGAGAGAAGACAAGAAAGAGGTTTGGAAACCCACAAAAATGAAAGGATACCTGAAATGTGCATAGAAGGGCTAAATCTGAAGGGTAAATCGTACCCTGCTTGCTATGTAAGCTTGAACTGAGTTCAGATTCCCAACACTCGATTAAAATCATAGCATGGTAGCGAGCACCTATAAGTTTGGGGGGCAGAAGCTGGCAAAGCTCTGGCTCTCACTAGTCAGCCATTCTAACGAATTAATAAGCCCTGGGTTTTGTGAGAGACCCTGTCTCAAAACAATATGGTAGAGAGCATTAAAAGAAGATACTCAGTGTTGACCTCAGGCCACCACATACACATGTGTGCACACACACAGGTACACACACAGTTGCTAAAATTCCTTCCCTGTAGGAGACACAAACCACACCTCCCTCCTGACCCTTTCTGAAAGTCCCAATGACAAACCAAGGAAAGATGCAACCTAAGTTCACCCTGGGGTAACAATGACTTTATTGAGATCACTTACAGAGCATAGATGAGGGGTTACTTGCAGGAGTGTGGGTGCCCCCCCCCACAAAAAGGTAGCACACACAAGTTTTACCCGGAATGGATGTTGTCTTTCCCATAGCCCCATAGATGGAGCTCTCTCCCCTAGTCCTTTCTTACCTATTTACTCCTATAGACTCTAACTCCCTACCTACACACACACCTGCCTTAAACCCCAGAGGCCATTGTTACGGGAGGTCCTCCCACTCCTCCAGCCTATCGCCGCTGAGATACCAGCCCATTGGGGCGTGGTCTCTCTCCCTTTAAAAAAGCGGCCACTTCCCTCTCCTCTCTCTCTTCACTTCCTGCTCCGCCGGCGACTAGACTCCCTTCCTGGTTGCGCAGAGGGCTGACGGTGATCTGTAAGTTTTTTCCCCTTTAAATAAATACCACCCTATTAATCATAATTCCAAACTGGTGTGGCATTGTTTATGACTTACGCCTTCAGTTGGCACCCAACGTTTGGTTTTAGAACCTCTCCTTTCCCCGCTCGGCTGCCGGCCGCGATTTCGGCTTGGCGGGAGCCCTCCCTTCCTCAGCCGCTGCAGCCGGCGGCCTTGGCCTCCCCACGTGGATTTAAACTCCACAGGCCCGCGTAGTCTCTGCCGCGTGGTTTGCTCTTTTCTGAGTCGTTTTTAAATCTCCCTTGCAAGCACAGCTCTTAAGTGGCACGAACCAGAGCATGCAGTTGCTGAAAGCTGCAACCCCTCAGGGTGACTCTGTCACGTGGAGGCATAAGCGGCTTCCAGGTTGCTCTTCTCTACCCCTGGACTCTGGGTTTCTGGTTCCGTCTCTGGAATTGATTTAATTACATTTACTTAGTTGAGCAACTTACATTTTCCAGTTTTTAACAAATACTCTGCGGACTCTGAAACAGGACTCTGTTTTCGTCGCGACTTGGCAACAGCGCCACCTGCTGAATAATAGGTAATATGGCAGTTTTCTTTTCCAACGCGAATTTTACTGTTCTGGTTGCCAATACAATGGATTATATCATGCAAGGTTTATATGACTATGGGGATAACTTAATTTACTGGTTACTAGGCTTCAGTATTCTTTTGAATATTCTATCATTTAGGAAGATCATGGCACTCCTAAGAACCATACAATCTTTACTAGAAACTCATGCAGGTCAGGAGATTCAGGATTCAAAAGAGACAATAATAAAGACAATAATAAAAAGACTTGAAATGACTGAAGAAATGATTGGAGCTGGTGAACAGAGTAATAAGGCACAAGGACAGGATACAATGCCAACACCAGCTATTAGAACTGGCTTACCCAAGGTTTTAGCGGCATACCCTATACTTAATTCTGGCAAAGTGTCAT